AGATATAGTACCCGGTTCCTCACACAATACCCATGGGTACTATTCAATTTTAAAAACGAAGTTCTTGAATAAGACCCGGGCACTGTATGCAGTGGCCAACGGTAATAACCTTTGTTTAAACAAATAATATATATTCTTATAGTTATAGATAATATATTTGCAAAATATTAAGATTACTTGTTTGATTTAATCTTATATAAATAGCAATCGTTTTTTTGGAATTTGGGATTTGTCCAGCAAGTATAATGGCACGTGATATTAAACTAATAGCATTGTAAAATAGAAGCCAACTTTAATATAAGAATAAAAATGTTATTAAAAACTTGAACTAATCAGAGTCTTATTTTAGTTACTCTTGTTCGGACTGATCCGGGTTAATAAAAATTTCACAGTCTGATTGGTTGATGTACCGGAAAATTTCGTGAGGTGAGTTAAGTCGTTATACAATGTCATTTACTTAACTTTTACCAATTCACAATGATGCCAAGTCAAAGTGAAAAAAGTGAACATGATGCTTTACTTGAACTTTGTTCTAAGTTAAAAGATGAAAATGAGCAACTCAAGAATCGAGTTAAACAATTGGAAAGCCAACTTATATGTTTACAATCATTGACAAACGTGAATTCAAAGCCGATAAATGTGCATTCAAATTTAGATGTTAAATCGGAAACCACTTCCAAGTTAAGAAATAATAACAAGTTATCTTTGGAGGAATACTTACGTTATGGACGTCAGCTCATTCTTCCTGGTTTTGGAATTTCAGGTATAAATATATATACGCATGTTCAAATAATGAATTTATAAATGTTTGAAAATTTGAGAATTCGACTTGTATATCCGTTCCATAGGTCAACTCAAACTCAAAAATAAAGCAATATTAATTGTTGGGGCTGGTGGTTTGGGTGCTCCCGCAGCAATATATCTTGCAGCAGCTGGTGTTGGTATGAGCTGCTTCATCAATTGATCTTGAATATTTATCCAAAACTAAAATTAATTAATTATTATAGGCAATTTGGGGATTATAGACTATGATTCAGTAGAATCATCAAATCTACAACGTCAAATAATTCATAATGAATCAAGAACTGGTGTATCTAAAGCTCAATCTGCAAAAATGACCATCCAAGGGTGATTGATAATAATAATTCATTGGTGGATAATTATTATTTATTAAAATATATTAATCATCTAAAATGTATATTTTTGCGTAGCTTGAATTCACTGTGTGAATGTGTTGCATATGATCTCCTTTTGGATAGTTCAAATGCGCTTGACATTATAAAAAAGTGAGTTTACACGACAGAATTTTGGTAACATGTATTTTAATTATTCCTTTTTAAACTATTTTCAGATATGATATAGTTGTCGACGCGACTGACAATGCCGCTACTCGCTATCTTCTCAATGATGCGTGTGTTCTCACTGGCAAACCTTTGGTGTCTGGTAGCGCTTTACGTATGGATGGACAATTAGCAGTGTATAATTACCGAGGAGGACCTTGCTATCGATGCATATTCCCAAAGCCTCCACCACCGGAAAATGTTGTAAACTGTGATGATGGTGGAGTTTTGGGTGTTGGTTTGTTTATTTCATGATAAATGTTTTATAAAATTGCATATATATTGCCCTAACTAATTCGAACATTTAGTGACCGGAGTGATCGGATGCCTACAAGCCTTACAAGCAATAAGGATCGCTGCTGATATGGATGGTGAGTATATTTCTCATCTAATTAAATGAGAACCTAAATGGTCTCACACCATAAATCATTGGTATAGAACTTGTAACTGTAAAAACTGATACATAATTAGGTTGAAACATTACTTAAAGTTCGACTATTGTTTCTTGCTAGCTAAAAACTATTTATAATATTTGAATGTGAAAGCATGTAACGTTCTATATCGTATTAACATTTAGATGACGGAATCTCTCAAAGTCTTTTAATATTCTCGGCTAACTCGAACCCTCTTTTTCGATCCGTTAAATTAAGATCCAAAAAATCTAATTGTGTGATATGTAGTGATCATCCAACTATAACAACATTGCAAGACTATGTTCAATTTTGTGGCAGTGGTGCATTGGACAAGGTATGACAATCTAAAACAACGTTGTGTTTATATAATTTGTTGCAATCTTAGCGATCAATCTGCAGTCACCCTCAGTGAAATTACTTGGAGATGACGAAAGAATAGACCCAAAGGTAATTAATTAAGATGTTACTATACAAAAATGGATGTTGAATTGATGGTCAAATCATGTTTCAGTCTTATTGTGCTTTAAGAGCCAAAGGCATCCCACATGTTCTCGTGGACGTACGTGAGCCTGTTCAATTTGATATTTGTAATTTATCCGGCTCACTGAGTAAGTCTTTTCTTTATGGGAATTATAGTTGTTTTGCTTAGATTTTTTGGTAAAACTTCCAAATATGTTTGTTAAAATGTAATAACAAGATATCCCGTTGAATGAACTTCCCAAAAAAGTGGACTTAATTCAACAATCTTTACCATCATCAGTAGCACCAGGTGTGATTGTAATAACATTACTGTAATTTTAACATGTAAAAAAGATGCTAACGTGCTAATAATTCAATCTTGAGCAAGTTTATGTAATTTGCCGTAGGGGTAACGACTCTCAACTTGCTGTTGAAATATTAAAAAAGACCTTACGAGGAGAAATAAAGGATGTGGTTGGAGGATTATACCTATGGGCTAAGGATATTGATCATGAATTTCCTATATACTGAAATGTAATTTTTGTTGTCTTGTGCGCGTTATCTAGTATTCTTTGCTTTTTTTTCTATACAAAATTTCTTAAAAAAATAACAGGCTTCCAAATAAGAGTTGGCTTTGACTACTGGTTGATGATATAACGCTAGTAAGATCTTACTGACATGGTTCAAATATTCCGATACTGATTAAATTTTATTATTCAGTTTGTCCAATGGGTAATATAATATTCATTTACAAGTAGTGCCATAATTAGGTTTGATCTTGACGCTTAAAAGTGCATAATGATTTGATAGATCTTATCAAAAGCAACTTAAATCTACATGTATTTTTCGCAATTACACTTTTAAATCAAAATTAAATGAATTTGATGATTAGACTTCTCGCACCCCGAAGTTTACAAAAGTAATAACTATTTAAAAATAAGACACAAATGCATACATAAATATAGTTGGCTTTTGACAATTTTCTTAAAAATAGTTGCTGTATTTTTGGCTCATTAAATCATATATTAATTAACTAAATGCGTTCTAAGATATTAAATTATTACAATTATTTAAAAAAGCTATCTAAAAAGCTCTAAAATATTTTAATTATAAAATTTTAACATAAATTGGTAGTACATGACAAATAATATATTATTAGTAACTAGCTATTTCAACATCTTAATTTTACAGGGAAAAAAAGCAATGATTTAATTTAAAATAATATTCTATATGAGCTACACATAATTCTATTACAAAAAAAAAAAAAAAAAATTGTCTATAAAACGCCAAATCCTAATACAACTGGACTAGAGGGACTAAGTATTGCATTCTCTTTTAAGCTCATTGTTTCCTCTGGACTTAGTTGTAATATAGTTGATATTACAGGAACTAATGGCTGGATAAGAAAAGATTTAGAATGTGAGTTTGACGCAATTAAAAATATTCAGACAATGATAGTTGAAATGAATACCTCACGATCCACAGGATTAGTTTCAAAAAATTTAAGTACAACGTTTTTTAAGTACTCCACGTTTAAATTTTGCCGTTTTTCTGTACGATCTAATTTTCTTATTTCTTCTTTTAAAAACTAAATAAAGAAACACATTACAATTTCAAATAAGCATATCTGAACGTAGAAAATTTCATTATTAAATCATATAGAAAACAACCTTTTCTTGTTCCATTAATTTCTGTACTTGGTATTCACTTTCGTTTAACATTTCAGCCATATGTTTTAACTTCATTATATAATCTTTTTCTTTATCGGATGATTCTAGTGCCGAAGTTGACACCATAGATATTCGTCCCTCTGTGTCAGATAAAAGGTCTGATAATGAATCTAAAGATATATGTTGAAAATTTTTAAATAAACTGGGTAAGTCACAAAACTAAAAACAACAAATTTATAATAATAAAAAATAGATATTTACTATGAGTAGAATTAGGACGACTATATGTCTTTAGTGAAGGTGATGGCGATGAAGGTCTGCTATCATCCTTTCGAATATTTGTACGTAAAGTTAGTGGAGCTTTGACAACAGCAGCGGCAAGTTGCTTCTTAAGGTCATCTATTTGTTCGGAACGTTGTGATAGTTCTTCTCGTAACTTTGTCAACTCTTCACCGAGTTGCTGTGTAAATAGAAATCATCACTATGATGAATAAACGCTTACGTTAACATTTAGATAATTACATAATGACTTACTTCTGATATTGATTGCAATTGCTCATTTTCCTCCAGTTTTTGTTGAAGATTTTTCTTAATTATATCCGTTGACTTTAAAAGTTTATCATCAAAATCCTTAACACTGACTGTATAATTAGCTTTAGCTTCATGAAGGGCTAAAATCACCATGAAAAATATAGAGATACATCTTCAATAAAAAATATGTAACTAGCTATGAAAGAAAACAAACCAACCAACCTTCCTGCAAGGTAACATTTTCCTTTGAAAGTTCCTGTAATTTCTCCTGTAAGTCTTTAACGGAATCCGCATTTTCACGCGCTGTTTTTTGTGTTTTTTCCAGTTCTTTTTCAAGATGAGCGTTTAGTTCGAGCGCACGTTTAAGATCATTTTCTATTGCTTTAATGCTATTATGTGCATATTTTAACTCGGTAGTTTTGAAGCTATGAAGATTTATAGACATAAGTATTTGGATAAATTTCAAAATCTAAATAAGTACATCACTAACCTTAGATCTGTTTCCAATTTTTTGTTTGCAGCAGTTAATTCTGATACATCTGGTCTAGAATTATCTGCATTAGTGTTATTGAGATTTTTTTGTTCGAGCAATGTATGTGCTCTTATCTTGTATTGTTGAAATTCTGATTTAATTTGTGTTGTTTGTTGTGTTGCTTGTCGGAGTTTTGATTCCTATAATAAATTAACTTTTTAATAATCTTAACCGAGGATGTTTTTTGTACCAAATTTTTAAATTTACCAATTGTTCTATCTGTGAATTATACATGGCCGCCTGATTATGCATTTCTGTTGTCAACTTTTCCACCGATTCTATTATTAAAATATTTGTCAATTATACAAGCTTTAAATCTCTTAATAAATTAAAGAAACTACTAAAAAAATATGTATTAACTTCGACTTTCATCTGCTGTTGATTTTGTTTTTTGATCTTTTTCTTCTAGACTTTCTATATTTGCTTTCAACTCTTCAACCTCTTTATTTTTAGAAGCTACATTTTGTCTTAGCTCATTTATAGTTTTGTTTGCAGCATTAAATATTCCTGTCATGTAAAAACATGTATACTGGTGAGGAAAAAAAAAAGATATTGTCATGTTGCGAATAATATCGAATAATATACCTCGCATTTTCTTCAATTTTTCTTCATATTCCGTTTTTGACTTTTCTAAATCAGCTGTAAAAATAATTTAAATAATTTAAAAATTTTGTGGTATATGGCTATTATATACAGGAGGGTACCATGGGTTACCAAACGGCCTATCTATACAGTAATAACTTTTTTCTTACATATTAATCCCCCAAAATTTACCCCTTGTTAGAATGTCAGAGACGATCTTTTTTAATATATAAAAATTTGATAATGCATATTACATTAAAAAACTTGGTCAAATATAATACCGATTTAGAATGGATTCCTTTACGGATAAATAAAACAAGAGCTAGTTTGTATACAAGTATAAATTTTGGTACCATCCAAAATATTCTGATCAAGACGAGTCCAATGGTATCGAAATTGTTAATTGGATCACTATATTATAAGATATTGATATTTAAAATTTAATTATCTCGATAACTAGTAATTCAACTTTTAACAATTTTGATACCATTCGATTCGTCTCGATGAGGCGATTCGAATGGTATCAAAATTGTTAAATTTGGAGATATTACAATCTATATATTTATATTTATAATGCAGTTTTATAAATTTTATGTAAACTGCATTATAAATAGTTTTTGTAATATCTCGCGATCTAGTATGATACCATTCGAATCGTCTCATCAAGACGATTCGAATGGTATCAAATTTTACTAGTTATTGAGATAATTAAGTTTCTATTAAATTTATTTAAATATTAATATCTTATAATATAGTGATCTAAAATTTAACAATTATGGTACCATTGAATTCATCTTGATGAGAAGATTTGAATGGTACCAAAATTTATACTTGTATATAAGCTAGCTCCTGTCTTATTTATTCGTAAAGACATCCATTCTAAAAAAGTCGACTTAGTCGATTTAATGTTAGATCATACTAAAGTAACCAATAGTAATCAACCAGGTTCGATACATTACCTCTCTAGTACATAGTACTAAGGGTAGGAGCCAAAAAAAATCCGAAAAAAAAAAATCAACTAACATAAATACGAGCAAGGTCGCGACAAAAATTTGATGAAATCTCCAATAAATTCCGAAGGTAAAAAATATTAATCGACTTTGACTTAGCCGGCTAAGCCAAATTTTAAATATCGACTTAGTCAAATCGATAAATAAGGGTCGACTACAAACACTACGTTCGGTAACGTAACTTATGGTACCCCCCTGTATATTTATTGTTTATTTATATTTATTTATTCGTTAATTCACTTAAATAATAAACGAGTTTATACCTGTACGCTTGTTTACCAATTCTTGGGTCTTGGAAAGCTCATTTTGTTTTTCATTTAATTGAATTTTTAAATCTTTAACCTTAATTCCAAAAATGCTTCTACGTTATAAATAAAAAAATAAAAAAAAACAAAAAACAAAAGGATAAAAACCAAATTGGGTATATACCTCTTCTTCCAAAGTAAAATTACGACTCTCCAATTCGTCAAGCCTGCTACCTTTTGAACCACCTGTCGGACTCTTATAAAATGATATTAAGAATTTTATCAGGATTGTCTTTCAAAAAATAATTTTATATATCGTGATAATACATACTTCAGTCCTCATTTTTGTTCGCAAATTTTCTAACTTTTGTTCTAATCGAGAAGGGTCATCAACTTGTTTATCCATGCTATTGTTTAACTAACGTTAATAAACGGCTTATAAAGGGAAAATTTTGTGATCGATGCTATAAACTATAAAAGTTTCTTTAGAAATGCATAAATATTTTTTTATAGGTGAGAATCGAATATTTCTGAACTTAAAATAAAGCAAATATTTCATGTTTAAAAACATCATATTACATACAGTATGATATCAAGCGGGGAAGTTATTCTATTATGCTACTATTCAAAATTTCAGTGTTCTAAGTGTTCTAACAAAAAATATGCAGAATTAAGCAGTCATTGACTTTGTGGGGTTTTATAAATATTCCGATCGTTATTTAAATTATCAGGTGATTTGTGCTACATCATTAATTTCTATATCTGCATTATCTGCATATTGATACTTGTGCTATGTATGACAAAAAAAATTTTTTTATCGGTTTAAAAAGATCTGTTCGATTTTTCTAACACTAACGTTAAGTCATTCTCCATCATTTATTTTTTATTAATAAATGTCTCCAATTGCTTTTGATACGTCTGCAAATGATACAAGCTTATTCAACACTGATGAACTCATTAATTATGCGACTAAAGAAACAGTAAAATCTTTTTTAATCCAAGAGGAGCAGCCGCAGCACATTCAACAGGAACACCCTAAACACCAAGTACCACAGCAAGAAGATAACGAAGCCAATAAAGAATGTGCGACGAATATAAATGATATAGAAAAAACTACTGATTCACATAATTCAGAAGAAAAATTGTTAAAAGAAAATGAGGAGTAAGTTTTTTTTATAATTTATATATTTTGATATTTTGATCATATTTTAGCTATGATTCTTTTATCCTATATTGATTTCTTTTTTTTAGCTATGAAACGGTTTCGAGAGCTGTTAATGTTTTAAAATTCCAATTGCAACAAGTAAAAGAAGACATTTGCAAGTTGAAATCGATGAAGGAAAAGGCCTTAAAAGACCCAATCCAATTTGTCGAAGATTTACGAAATGGGGTTAGTATTCGTCAGTGTTGACATTTTGTCATTTTAAAATAAGCGACAACTTGTCATATAATCGACCTAAAAAAAAATCAATTTATTTTTATGACTGGCATTTGCCATTTATAATTACATATAATTTTATTAATTGTATAGTAATTAATAAGTTACATATCGATGATATTTATACATATTACTATTAAAAAAAATATATAAACTTTAATAGTGAATAACTTTTGATCCGCTTGTCCTGTTGGATAATTTTACCACCAAAATAATCGTCTTAATGAGGCGACTCTAACGAGTTCAAAATTGGTAAACTCTAATCACTGGATCCCAAAATCGTTGAAGATTTGTGGTTTTTTATAATTTTTTTTAGAAAGAATTATCTTAAAACAGCACCTAAATTGAAATAAACTCATAATGATCTCAGAACCCCGTGATTAGATTTTGACGATTTTGGGCTCGTTAGAATGTCTCATCGAGACGATCATTTTGGTAATCATTCAAAACAGAACAGTGGATCAAAAGTTAATCAGTGTTAAAGATTTTTTTTTTTTTAATAAGTTTAAATATGTAAAATAATTTATAAATTATTAATTTTATGATAGCAAATGTCAAAGTCATAATAAATGACATGTCATTTTTTCTAGAAAAATTGTACAAAATCTTGGCAAATGACAAACAAATGACTGGTGTCCGTTTGATGCATAAATTTGTTACCTTATTAAACTCGGATAATTTATTCCTTTCATACCTGTTTCACAGACTAACGAAAAGGTTCCTAAAAGGCAATTTATATTTGGAGCCCCAACAATTGATTGGAGCAAATATCATACCACCCCTTCAAAGTACAAAGCACGTATAGGTAAACCATCAAAATTGGAGTTATACTGTTGGCCTTGATAAAAATTTACAGGATTAATTCTTTTTTAGATCAAGAGAAAATGAAAAATTCCAAGGTTAATTCCAATTCTATCTTGTTAAATTTTATGACCAATCATTGTTCTTTGCTAACTTTATTCAAAGGATCGGGTAAACACACCACCCTCAAGTGATAATTCACGATCTGGCTCACCGGACATTGTTGAATTTGTGCACAAAAGAGCTCAGGAACTTGGTTTCAAAGTCCCCTCAAACGCGATAAAATCAACGCGTTCTAAGAAAAAAAGGATCAATCTAAATAGTGATGATGAAAGTACATTCACAATCCCATCGAGAACATATATAAATGCGCAAAGGTCAACACTGCCGAAATCAAGAAAGAAAGAAATGTCAATTCGGACCGCACCGACTAAAGCACGGAGCTTAATTTCTAATTGTTCTACAAGGTATTTGTAAATTCTATGTGTAGAGTATTCTTTTTGTTTAAGATGATTTGATTCAAATAATTTATTGATAGACAAGATATGATTGCCAAAAACACAAATTATTCAAGTAATTCCATACATACGAATCGGAAGAATAATTTAGAAAAGGTAATTATTAAAAATAACAAAATTTACTTTTCACGTGATAAAATATTGCCGTAAGTGCACGCGCATGCATATAAGAAATTTAGTAAGTGAAAATAGTGATTCATCGAAACATGTAACTTACGATGCATTATAGTCAAAATGAGGAGCGGTATGCGTTATAGCAAATGACATGTTTCATAAATCATGATTGGTACAAAATTTATCAGGTTACATAATAAATCTTGCACATTCAAAAAGCGTTAATTGGAACGCTTGCTTGCTAAATGTCCGGAAGAGGGGTTCGATCACACTTATTCAAAACTGCTTGAAACTAGAACTCCGAAGCAGGTAAAAAATATCTTTGGAACTATGACGAGTGCGATAAGTGTCAACGGCATTTTATTGCAAATCAATCATATTTGAATTTATTCATAAATTCAGGGTACAAAATATTTTGCAAAAAATTGGCAAAATATGGAATACTTGTTCCTGGACGGATACCTAGTGTTTCAGTAATTATTACATAAATAGAATTTATTAAAAATTAGCTTATTCGTTAACTGATATATAAATGAGTTACTAAAAAAAACAAAAACAAACAAATTCCCAGTCTGCGAAATCTTCGTCAAAAAATATTTTATCAAAGGATAAAAAATCGGGCAGAATATCCAAGTCAGATTCATCTAAGCTTCCTCCAGAAAAAAGACCTCGACGACCACGGTAATTTTTGACATCTCATAAATAAGATAGCAAGGCAGGATAACGACTATTATTATTAACATTTTGTATTTATGGGCATTCACAGTGTATCCGGAATAGCCTATATGGAAGCACGACCTCCACCTACTTTATATATGCCTGATGATGATGATGAGACTATCATAAAGGAAGTAATGCTGTCAATGGATAAATTAGGCAATGAACCCAAGGTTAGTCAGATTATATAATCTACGTTTGTTGATATACTGTAGTTTGAATTTCATAACTATATATATATGTATATATATATATATCTAGTCATACAATTACGCTGGTGCCATACATAATGGATACTGTGTAAGTACTTATTACCTGATTGATTTTATTGATATACGTTATTAATAATGCCAACTCTTTTCTTAAGTGTGATGGTTGTCGTATGGATCCAATACTTGGTACACGCTTTCTTTGTATGAATTGTGATGAGAGTCGGGAAGTGGATCTTTGTGAAAACTGTATGATCGAGGGAAAATTTGAGAATGGTATAATTTGATTGTTATGATTGAACACAAACCTTATAATGAATATATGAACTGTATTTCTAATTATTTTCCATTTTTTTTAGAGTATCATAAAAAATCACATCGGTTTTCAGCAATTGTTAACCCCACACCGCAACGGGTTAATAATCCTGAACAAGCTGATGAATATAGTTATTTAGACACTACGCCTGGGATCAGCGTTTGAATTAGTATGCAAAGTTAATGTGCAGTATTTTGTAAAGAATTTAAAATATGCAAGTAAAATTTAAAAAAAAGAAAGTTGCTCAAAATATATAAGGCCTCATAAAGTGGTTTTTTTTTGGTTCTCATAACATTACTTTACCCCACTAACTCGGTTTTTAATTAAAAAAAGTTTATTTTTTAGGCAGTATAAACTAAATAGGGGTCCAAATTTCCTCTTTGTCAAATTTTGCAAAATGCAAAGATTTATTCGAATCAAATATAAATATATATAGTATATATATTTAATAAATTTAACATATCAATTAAATCTTCCTTATACTGCACTAATTAAATAGTAAATATTTTATAAGCATGAATAGTTTATTTTAAAACTAACATGTAAATATTTATGAACTTAAGTATTTTATTTTATCGCTGTTTTCAAAATGGTTGAAAATAGTTACAAAAAATCCAATCTACATAATAGCGACCAATGTTCTAAACTATTCGAGTATTCACAAAAAAAATTTTTTTATTAATATTACTATTTTCAAGCATTTCGAAAACAGCGATAATATCTAGACTCTCTTTACTAAGTTATCGCGAATAGTAAATATTCATGGACTTCAATAGCTTGACTATGTATTAAATTATTGCTTATGTGCTAAATTATCGTGAATAAAATTAAATAGTAAATATTCACGAACTTGAACTACTTACTTTGAATATATACTTAGTTTAATTAATAATGTATACTTATTCATGCACTAAATTACAAAATCGCACATTTCGAATACTTATGACTAATAATTTTTTTACTAATTATTGTGAATAAAAGTATTCATGAACTTGAATTGCTTATTTTATTTTGAATACGTATTTTGATAAGCTGGAACTTTTATTTATCATAAAGTTTTTAAAATTTTTGGAGTTAGGGCTTATACAGTAATAAATCAACTGCGACAATATTTTCTATATTCTTGCTTATTTTGATGCTTAGTTTAATAAATAAATCAAATAGTAAATATTCATGAACTTAACATTGCTGATAAAATGAAATTAAATAATAAATATTCATGGACTTGAATTTCTTATTCTAAATACTTAAATATCCTTTATACTCATACTAAATTATCATTATGTTTAATTATCGAGAATAAAGTCAGTGCTGGCCGATGATCTTAAATGACTTATATACCTTATGACCTGCTATACTGTAGGTCATTTGGTCATAACAAAGGGTGGTATGACTTTATGACCTTTTAATACTGTAATAGAAAAAATTTTTTATGACAATGACCAAAAGTTATGATTATATGACCAAGATCATATCAAAGAAAATTGTAGGCCATCGGCCAGCACTGAATAAAAATTAAATTAAATAATAAAGTTCCATGGACTTGAAAAGTTTGTATTAGTAAAGTTTTTTTTTTTTTATAGCTAATTCTGATTGGTCAATTCTTTATTGCATCTGAAAATTAACCACTGAATTTAACCAAATATACAAATTTGTATAGCCTTAATACATGTGGAGTTGAGTCAATAGAAATCAAGCAAATATTTTTAATAAGTTTTTTAAAACTTTAAACAAGGATAACTTAACAAAAATTTAATCAAATTTAATCAAATTTTTTTTAAATTAATTCTACAAGTTTGTAAAAATTATTTAAAAAAATTTTTATTAAATTAATTAAGTTTTTGTTAATTTATTCTTGGTTAAAGTTATGAAAAATTTTATAAAAAATTTGCTTGATTTCTATTGACTCATCCCCATGTATTGATCAGAAGAATTTATATTTTTTGCAAGTATAAAAGAATTTTTAATTGCAACTGCGCAAGTAATTTTTTTTTTATGGATTTTAAAAATTGCATAGGTTTAACGGTCTAGATAGTTTCAGCTGTTATCACGAGAAATTGAATGTTTACTTATTTACATTTTTTGAATTCGAATTAAGTTTTGTTTGACAGAGTAGTTAAACAATATACTGGTATTATCTGTTACGAGAACAGTATTAAAAGCGCAAAATAAGTTAGTGAGGCAAAAAAAATGCTTCTAATACTAAGTCATTATAACCAATTTTCTTTCGTAAATCAAACAAACTAAGTTCAAGCAAGATAGATATAGCAATGTCTACAAATGCTTGTTCGCTTGGTTCATAACCGTCTAAAATAGGATAAAATTCTTCTCTATTATGTATGCCGGAGAAGGAGACAAAGGAATGAATTTATATTCTGATTTAGTTCTTTTAGCTAATTCTATAAATTCTTTTTTTTTTTCTCCAAAACGCTGAGTAAAATGAAAAAATACACTTATTAGAAGTTTTCAATGCAGTCCCTCTGGTTTATATCCATGTTCCAATAAGACATAAAGACATATTTAATCTTTATAAACTTAATTTTTTTATAAAAAAAATTATTGCGATTGGTCTGGTATTACTTGTTTTTCAACGTGAAAATTCTATTGTAATTCAACCCAATTTTCTGTAAATTCTAAAAGTGCAAAAGATGTTTATTTTCATGTCTTTTTTTTTTTTTTTTAGTTTATGCTTAGGCTCTAAAGAGTTACTGATAGAAATCTCTAATGACAAATAATAGCAACCTGAGAGCTTGGTATGCCAAAATTAAAGACATCAACAATTTTTGCCTTTGGACGTGTATACAGTATCCTACTAATTCACCATTTTTTAATCCAAAGACTTCCTTCACAACGTTATGCAGTAAAGCAATATACCATGCTAATTGGTTGTAATTACTAAGACGTCACATATGGTGCATGAGAACCCAATAGGAGATAAAAAATTTGCTCCAAAAATCTCTTATAATACTACGTAATGCTAAAAATTTTCATGAATATTTAGCAAAATTGTCATAAAAGATCTTATTAATCAAAAACAACGATACTTAAATCTAACATTCAGCATGAATCAGCGCCAACCTTGTTAAAATTGCTACACATTCTTTCATAATTTGGGAACTTTGCTGGGAAAATGATCCTCCGAGGCTTGCTAATGTGGCTGCTGCTGCCGTACTTGAAAATGAAAGGACTTGGTTTTGCGTATGCGAGACAATTATATAAAACCAAAAATAAAAGTTAAAAAATAAAATTTTTTAAATTCGAATATCTTCGATGAATTTTAAAGCTATTTTGATAATTAGTATTTAAAGGAAAGCCCAGATCTTGGACTATTAAATCATCATTGATAGCTTCAAAATTCATTGAGATATGAGCTGTGAAAATTAAGGTTTGATTTTTTTTTTTTAAAATGCTAATCTACTTTATTTTCTAGTGATATTCACAAGGTTTTTATTTTTTATTTTATTCGAATTATTCAAAGAATTATTTAGTCATTGTAAATCTTAAATCTGATCACATCTAAATTAAATGTGTGTTCATACAGTACTCAAATTCAAGTATTTAATATATATTTACATTCAAAGATCGACTTTTTTACAAAACATAAATTTGAATTCAATATTCAGTTTAAAAATCTATTTATTAAATAAGGTTATTTTTCATCTTTATACACAATGTGGTTTTATGAATTTATTAAATCAATTGTTTTTATTTACTCGTGTATAGTTATTTAGAGCTTTTGTAATAAAGAAACTTGCGAATTTTGTTATATTTAATACTGTATTAATAAATGATAAGCACTTAAAACATGATTTTCTTATTTTGCATTAAATTAGCAGATTTCATCATTCGATAAGGCTAATGAAGATTATGTAAAACAAGGAATTTCTCTTTAGAAAATACGATATTCAAAAAGATAAACTTTCGTATAATACTGTAATATTACTAATCATATTTATTATCGGTGAATGAATTTAAGCTTCACGAGCAGACCTTGGAAATCATGACAGCTGTTCGTCATTTCTAAAGAATTATGTATGTTAACGATACACACCCAGAAGTAGCCAATCATCTCAACTGAAACATATGCCCTCTAGATTTTGTTTGCGATCAGATAAGTGATTTTGTTCTGATCCAGTATTGATTGAAACTACTTTTCTTTTCCTTATATAAAAACGATCTTGGTCTAAAAGATTTAACTTCTTATTTTGCATAATTCTATAATTATTCCGTAACCATTAACACTATACATCATAAAATATCATTTTTTAATGTGATCGTGAAAATAATTAGATGAAACATAAAAAAAAAAAAAAAGGTGATGAAAAAAACAAGGTTAAGAAAATTTTGGTAATATTAATATTCTTTAAGGATATATACACAGTGACTTTTGATAAGTCGTTAAATTATAACTAAAAAAAATAATCTTAAATGAAATTAATAAAATATTCTAAACATTGAACATTATCATTATCATTATCATTCTAGCAACCATCCTGGATTATAAACTTCGTCTATCATCTTGTATACAAAATCGGTAATGGTTTCGTTTGCTTTTGACAACATCAATTTAGTCATTTCTTGTGCCGATTCTACATATAGTCTACGTAATTTGTCACCTAAACATCGTAAGACAACTTTCAAGTGATCATCAGAGAAGCATGGTGAAGACCGAATCACAAGATTTCTAAGTGGTGCTTTCGATCGGGTGAAAAATGTTTCCAATGATGTTGCGGTGTAAGACCATTGTGCGGTGATTTCAAATTCTCGTAAATTCGGTAATTCCAAATTTGCTAGTTGTAAAAATAATTCATTTGCATCTTCTGGATTACCGGCAAGCATCACTTTTTTAAGATGTTGACATGAATCGAAAAGTACTACTAACTGCGAAAATTCTTTTCTAGTGACATGATATTCGAAATGCACTAGATTTGGACAATATTTTGCAACCGATAATGAAACTGTAGGAACAAATCCATTATATGATGGATAAAAATATGCTGGTAATGAAAATGTCCTAATTTTGTTTCCAGAACTTTGTATAATAATTTCAGGTATAATAATTGGAAATCGAAAACTAGTAGTATCGAAAACAAGTTTTGTCAAATTTGGAAAATTTGATGATGCTAACATCTCAATCTCACTACATCTAAAGTTGGCCTTAACGAAACTCAATTCTTGAATATTGGTTAAATGCACTAGTTCTGAAAATACACTCCAATCTTTTACCATTCCTTGAAAATGAAAGTAACGCAATGATTTTGCTTGAGTACGAAGTCCTTGCATGATTGACGGTAAAACACGTGGTTTACATTTAATGAATTGAATTTCTTGTAAAGCTGTTTGCACTTTTATTAAAGTTCCCAAGTTTCGTGCATGATCATTACTCTCATTTCTACCGAAATTAGACATGTCAATTATAAGTGTTCGAAGTCTTTTAGAAACCTTTGATAAGGCTATCAAAAATTCTGATGTCCAATGTGTAGCTCCCCAATAAAATTCTACTAATTGTGATAAGCTTTTAGTGGCTCCTGGATATGTTGGAATCAATAAAAGTTCTTCTGGTATTTCTTTAACTGTGATCCAGAAAGAAATGTTTGGAAGACTTGAACATCGATGATTTTCTTTTGACCATTGTTTATTCGCCATGTCAATTGATAAGCACTTTAAATTAGAACAATGTGATACCAAGAGCTTGCAGATATCACGAGCCATTTCCTGAATGACTGCGCTTTCCCAATTATCGTCGGGTGCAAGAAATTTGGTGATGTGTTGGAAAGCTATTACATAATCAAGATGTTTGTGTGATATTAAATATTTAACACCATCCATAAGTGCTAAAAACAAATCATGAAGGTCAATGTGACGCAAGAAACGTGAATAATCGAAGGCTGTGCGTGGTGCATTAGTCCATATTACAAAGTCTTGCATATTAATGGCTGATGATGCTTGATTTTGTGCAATACATGTAATAAAAGTCGTAAGAAGATTTTTCGCTTTTTTATGTCGACCTTCAGTCAAACATTTACATGCTTTCTGACATGTATACAAGAAACGAAATGGTTTTTTCCACAAAAATTGAATTGCAACTTTACACCAGGTATGGTTAACTAATACTGCCGCGTGTAGAGAGTTTTTATCTTGTTCCAAATTAGTGAAGATCTGCCAGAGGCAGTCGTGGTTAAGTTCTATCATTTTTTTTCTTATTACAAATTATTACAACTCGAAGATGTTTATATTTTACGAAAAAAAAACGGTAATGTAAATTCTCAGGATCACACATGCCTTTATACCTGTCGCTTTGTTACACGTACGCATTACCTACTTAGTGTAACAAAGTTTATCACATGACCCTTTTAAAAATAAAACTCGAGATTAAAAACTAGAATAAATAAATAAACTATACATTCTCTGATATGACGAAAGATAAGATCTTTTTACTCTATCAGCATTTTTCGTGAAACATCGTCATTTACGCATTTATGCATCTAATGGAGTTTAAAAAAAAAATTTTTTATATTGTTATTTATTGTAAAATACAAATACTATTTTAAATATAAATATATATTTACTATCTGCTGTTACGTGTTTATATCGCCAAATATATAAATGAATCTTCCAAAAGGAGCGTCATGACAAAGTGATCAGCCATGTTTAAAAAGCTGATCAAGTTGATCGAACAATAAAGTGTATACATATAAAGTGTATACAGTACATAAAAGAAAGATTCAAAAAAAAAAAAATTAAAAAAATTAACTTTCTCATAATCGTATTTCTCCGACATGAGTACCGTACTCTGCAACGGTTTGGGAGGCCATTTATGCCCGGGTATCTAAGTGTGATATTATCATGATATTCATGCTATTCTGTACACGGGGAAAACATAATAAAACATACTCTTATCCGTACAATGTATCCCTCCTATGCCAGATACGTGTACCCCAGGTACTAAAACGAACTAGGGGAATACCCCGAGTACATATGTCGGAGAAATAATGATATATTACAGCTTATATTACAGCTGCAAAGACTCTCACTACAAACAAACCGGAATAATTATGTATCAGGATATTAATCCAATTAATCCATGTATACTCTACTAAAACTGTATATCATAGAATATTCTTTCACGTGACATAATAGTATAAAGATTCCGGTTTGTGCTACAGTCAACTTTATATAATGAACTGATGGTTTCCCAAACGTAAAAAGGGTTCCTTATAGATCTCGAATGGTTCAAAAAATAATTTTCTGTCGAACTTTCATGGTGAAAAGAATTTTGCCTAAAATACCTTGATTATTATTATTATTATTATTATTATTATTATTATTATTTGGTATTTGACTAAGTAGTAGTCAGGAGTTGAAATGTCAAATCAGCTATCGGAAAATCTCGATAACTCGCAAGTTTCTCTTTACGCTCATGTTTATGATAAACGTGTAGAATTCAAAAATTTAGTATGTTTTTTTCAAGAAAAAAAGTTTGATAGAATTGCTATATAATAAATTTATTGATTTCTAAGTATAGTTCGTAGGAATTTGTTGAATTCTTTTTTTTTTATCTTTTTTTTTATCATTGTTTTAGGATGGTACTTCGGAGTTAAATGTAGCCAAGTATAAATTTTATGATGGCAAATATATATTATTATTTATATACATCCTTTATAGTTAAAATTTAAATGGCGTATACTAATTTTTTATTTTATTTTTTTGATTGTGTTCCAGGTTTCGTCGTGGTCGAATTCCGGGATCACCGACAGGAACCAAAGTGCAATGGCAAGAGGTCAAAGTTGAAACATAATCAAACATCTCTTTGGGATGAAATTTTACGATTAAACGAAGAGACAGGTGGCTTATGGACCTATGAACAAGCCATTCAATTAGAATCAAAATTGCTTGTAAGGTCAACTTTATATATAAAATTTACATTATTCTTTTTTTCCCTGATATTATAATAAATTATTAAAATTCTTTTAATCAAATTCAATTCATTAAAAGCTTGCACTACATCCGCAGCTTGATTTGGATCCTAATTGCGATCAAGCCACCAATGATACATATGTGAAACCCACACATAGAAAATTAAAAAAGAAAAAACGAAAGCTTAATTCATATGAAGTTGAAGTAGAGGATGCCAAGCGCGTCAAACTTGAAAAGATGTTGTATATGATGGACGAAGTACGCTTAATCAATTTTTTTTTATTAATTGGTTTAATGTTCATATTGTAAATAACTTTACATTTTTTATTCAATTATTTTTATTCAATTATCAGCGTACTGGCAAAGAATTTACTCCAACATATAATCAAATAAAATATTTTCGTAGTGAGAATGCAATTTCTGAAAATAATCAGCATGTAATTGGTAAAGGAAAGAATAGAGCTGAATCAGAATCTCTCTCTGAACAAGGAAAATATATATTATCAATCACAATTTAACTTTATAATTCATCCGACATTTCAAATAATCATTTTCTTTCTTTTTGTTATTAATAACAGTACGTGCAACTACATCTATTCCTAAACCACCTCTTATAAGGACTATAGAATTTCAAAGAGATTATACTGATCCAATAGGTAAGTATCGTATTAATACCTTTAACAATATTAAATACATTATCATATTTATTTATCTATTTTTTTGTTATTTCAGATCAGAATAAGCATCATCTTTACACTTTGGTATACATATATCGAGATAATAATGACAAGTATGAAGTCAATTTTTATGAGGTCAAAGAAAAAGATCTGCTGGAAAGTGGCGAGCACACTCAGCCTCCAAAATTATGTCAAAGATATAATTCTAAACTAGATGATAGTAAACCGACCCTCAAGTATATATTATTTTATTTTAATTTTTTTAGTTGAGTTTCTATTTATTAACTTATTTATCAACTTATTTATCATAAAATAGATGTGAACTTGAAAATACTGCTGATTATGAAACATTCGTGAAATCATTTGTCATCCTACATATGATGAACAACACATTGCTAGATGATTCTGAACAATCTAATAAACTTCACGCCAACATAATTGTTCAATTAGCAGAGGAATTTTCTCAAGAATCAAATCAGAACGAATTATTTAATAATGCTGATAAGAGAGAACCTTATCAATTATTAGAACTTCTTGATAAACAACCTGCTTCTGAAAACAAGTCTTCTGCACTTGAATACACTAATGATGATGGCAAAAAAATTGAAATTACATCAATTTTTGATCTCCATACGGCAGCCGTAATGAAAAGACATGCTACTGAATCTTCATCAATGCCTCCACCTCCACGTCCACCACAGCGTCGTGCGCGTCCACCATCACGACTTCCACAAATGCCATCAAGTTCTGAAGTAGCTATACAAACGTTGCAACAAAGACTTCCTCAACAATCTATAAGACCTCCTATCGCAAAACCACCACAAATGGTCCAAGGATCAACTCCAATGCAGATAACACAAAATACTCAATCTATACAACTACCACAAACACGTCCACCAATTCAAAATCGTCCGATAGTTCAGATTACATCTCCACAAACTTCAATGCAAGGAATGATACAACTTTCAAATCAGCCGATGGCTGTTCAAGCAACCCCAAATCATGTGCCAATAAATGTTCAAATGCCTACCCAACAAGCTGTACAGATTACATCACCAATGTTAATTCGTCAACAACCAAGGCAAGGTATCGCAACAACCCAAGTTGTACAGGCTCCTAATTCTGTAAAATTACAACCTAATATGGTAATGTCATTGCAAGGAATGCAACCGACAATGTCTCCTCAATCATCAAGGCAACCACCAAACCAAAACCCTGCTATTGTTGCTGCCCGACCAACCCAAATACCTGCTCAAAATAATTCCATTAAAGTTCAAAATCAGATACAACCTGTTTCTCAGTCTGCACCTGGAACTCCTATACAATTAACGGAACAAACTCAAATTCGCCCTGTACAAAGATCTCCGGTAACTCAAATGAAATCTCCTGCACAGCCTTCAAGGACATCTGCTCCTTCAACACCTATGCAAACAGCAGAACAAGTTCAAATTACACAACCTTCTCAACGATCTACACCAAATACACCTATAAGTTCTCCTGGGCAAATTCAAGGTCATCAATCTCCTCAGCCTTCTATTGTAATAACATCTGGAACAGTAGCCAATCAGCATCCTATTCATAATGGTATACAACTATCATCTGCGCAAAATAATCCACAACAAAATATAAGTGCATTTAATCAAAGAATGTTGTTACAACAATTACGAGCTCATCATTTACGTAACAATCAGATAATGAATCAAGCAACTAATCCTCAAATGATGCCCAGGCGATTTACATCCCAAGTACAAGTTGGTAACTCACAACAACCAGTTGATGTGATGTTGCAACAGCAAATAATAGGAAATAATCAGGGCTTTGTAGTTCAACCACAATTTTCCATAAATCAGCAAATGCAAGGGATTATTCCAGAGCAAACGCCACAATTACAATTGAATATGTCTCAAATGTCTCAAATGGCGCAGCTTTACAGAATACGTCCTTCTGTTGTTCGTCAACCAGTGACACAGCAGCAAATGACTCTCAATGCACAACCATTTCAAAATAATAATAGTCAATGGGTTTTTCAACAACGACCCTATGGAAGTTAAATTTTTGCCATTATGGTAACTGTAAAAAAAAAAAAACAAAAAAGCAAACTTAGCATTCTATATCAAGAATTTCTATATTAAAATCACTCGGAAGATTTATAAAACGCCTTATAACGTTTCATGGCAAGAAATTTTCTAGATTACAAATTAATGTTTAATTTGGGAGTTTTCTCACAACTCATTAACTTATTTTATAATTTCTATGATCGTTATTCGGATTTATTTTTTATTTTTTCTTTTTTTCTTTTAAAAAAAAAATTCTTAGAGGATATGGGATTATTAAATTAATGTTTACGCATATATTTTTTTAAAAAAATATTACATAGTAATGCATATTCTCATTTGTTATATAGCTTAATAAAATAATTAAAAATCATTGTAGTTTCTACATTTGCTCATGTTTACAATCATAATGAGGTGACAATTTAGTTGATTAAATAGGTTGTTAATTTGCAATAGTGATCTTAAAAATTCGACTTGACTTAGTCGCTTGATTATTAATTTCAGAATTTTGGTCCTTGACAGATCTTATATGTGACAATAATGCACGATCATGTTTCATAATAATACCTTTGTAGTATATATACTGTATTGTATTTGTTAAAGAATCAAATCTTTCAAATATATAACAATAAAATTAGGGTGTATTGGGTACTCTTTACATTAAAAAAGCCTGATTTTGCTTTATTTACAAATTAAAAAATATTAATGCTAGATGTATTATCAAAGCAGTTTATAGTTAAGTTTGTATAAAAATTGATTTGATTAACAAAGTACTGTATTAATTTGTAAAAATAAAAGTTATAAAATTAATTTTTTAAAACTAATACAATAGAGGCCTCACCTTAAAAAATATATATATATTATATATTTTATATTATAAGACCACCATCGAACATTTAAGTACTAGACCTCCCAGTCCTAGGTTGAGGGCCGTGGTGCAGGTAGCAAGGATCGGTGTAAGGTGACGACCTGACCCATGGAGACAATGGTCGGTACCAATGTGAGAAAGTAATTCGGGAGGAAAAGCTTTGAATAGAAAATGTGAGAGATGCTGGGAATACAGTATATAAGGTAAAAGGTTGTAGCATAAATCCCGGCCCGTATACACTGACTCTCATAATTATTGTTCCATCTCTTTTTTTTTATTTAGGTCACGATATCTTACTTTTTATAAGTCATATGACCGGCAAATTTGGGTGATGTAAACCCTCCGGCTTAGACTTTAATATAACCAATTTTGGTTAACACTAATTATGCACTTTTTATATGGTGCAAATATGCATTTATGGGATTCCCTTATGTCAAGAAAATCCCGGGCTAAGGATCTACAAAAATTAGGCTCGGAGCCAATAAAAATTGCAGGA